CTTGACAGAAACTGCTCTTTTTCAAGGGCAGCTGTGCCAGAGCTCGTGACTGACCCAAGGTCACATCAGCAGGTGCAAGTGGAGGAGTGGGGAATCAAACCCGGTTCTCCCAGATTAGAGTCCGCGCACTTAACCACTACACCAAACTGGCTCTCTTCACCAAACTGGCCGTCTCCCCGCCCCACACCTCTTTCCGCCCAGAAACATACCTCTTTCTGTTCCGGTTCTTCCTCATCTTCGTTGGACTGGTAGCGAGAGGTCTCCTCTGAGTAATAGATCTTGTTGCTTGTCAGAACAAAGTAGTGTGGGCTCCAGGTCTGTCACAGAGAAAGAAGCGTCAAAGATGTGGTGGACAGTAGGCCCAAGCCTGCCTAGGGGACGGAAGTCAGGCTGGACAGTGGGAGAATATTTATTTATTTAATTCGATTTCTATCCCACCTTGCCTGACAAGCAGGCTCAAGGCGGTGCACAATAATAATTTACAATAAAAACAGATCAAATTCTAACAATAAAATATAAAGTGCAGATTAAATACAAGCGATACAGTGCAGATGGCGATCGTTGTAGTTGGCCCCGTATGACTATCCCAAAGAAAGTGCCAGCAATAGATGTTCAGTAGCTCGTTCAGTGGCGGCTCCTAATCGAAGGCCTGGTGGAAGAGCTCCGTTTTACAGGCCCTGCGGAACTGTAGAAGGTCCCGCAGGGCCCTGATGTCCTCCAGGAGCTTGTTCCACCAGTGTGGAGCCGCCACTGAGAAGGCCCTGGATCTGGTGATAGCCAGTCTGGCATCCTTGGGGCCAGGGACAGTCAGGCGATGTTGAGTCCCCGACCTCAGTGCTCTCTGGGGAATATATCCAGGGAACAGGACGGAGAACCCCAAAATCCCACCAGGAAGCAACTTCTCAAGCGGCTAGCCCCTAAGCACCAGAAGCAGGTGGGCAAAAGTTCACAGCTCTCCTCAAATTGCCCTTTCGTGCTCACACACACACCCCGCCAGAATCTTCAGAGGCTACAGCATGCTCATGGAAACTCAGCCCGTGAGGCTTTACTGGACCAGGCCTCCACAAACAACCCTAGCCATGCTCTTTGAGGGGCCGCCAGTGGTCCCACCACATTTTTAGTGCAGCCCCAAGATTCTGTGTTTGCACCCATGTGCTAGGAGAGCAGCCACAGTCTCCCCCAGGGCCCTGGCCAAAAGGGAGGCGACAGGTTATCACAACTGGCTAGCATGACTGAAATTGTGTAGGGTACAAAAGAACAAAAGAAGAGCCCTGCTGGATCAGACCAGTGAGGGTCCATCTAGTCCAACATCCTGCCTCACACAGGGGCCAACTAGTTCCTCTGGAGGGCCAACAACAGGGCAGAGAGGCCGAGGCCTTCCCCTGATGAGAACATCCGAAGAGCCCTGCTGGATCAGAACAGTCGTCCCTCTAGTCCAGCATCCTGGCTCACACAGGGGCCAACCAGTTCCTTTGGAGGGCCAACAACAGGGCATAGACTGAGGCCTTCCCCCTGATAAGAACCTAAGAAGAGCCCTGCTGGATTAGAGAAGTGGCCCATCTAGTCATAGAATCATAGAATGGTAGAGTTGGAAGGGACCTCACAGGTCATCTAGTCCAACCCCCTGCACTCTGCAGGAGCAGAGCCGAAAGATAGCCCTACAACATAGCCGAAAGATGGTCGTCCAGCCTCCTCCGCTTGAACTTCCAGCATCCTGCCTCACACAGTGGCCAACCAGTTCCCCTGGAGGGCCAAGAACAGGGCAGAGAGGCTGAGGCCTTCCCTCTATAGGAACATAAGAAGAGCCCTGCTGGATCAGACCAATGGTCCGTCCAGTCCAGCATCCTGCCTCACACAGGGGCCAGCCAGTTCCCCTGGAGGGCCAAGAACAGGGCAGAGAGGCCAAGGACTTCCCCTGATGTCGCCTCCTGGCACTAAGATTCAGAGGATGATTGCCTCTGGAATTGGAGGTTCCCTTTAGCCACCATAGCTTAGTAACCACTGATAGTCCTCTCTTCCATGAATCTATTTAATCTCCCTTTAAAGCTGTTTATTCCTGTGGCCATAGCTGCGCCCTCTGGCAGCGAATCCCACATTTTCATCCCTTGTTGTGTAAAGAAGTATTTCCTTCAGTCAATCCTGAATCTACCACCCATCAGCTTCACTGGATGCCCTCGAGTTTTAGCATGTTGGGAGAGAGAGAGAAAAAGTTCTCTTGGTCAGCTCTCTCTCCAGCCCATGCATAATTTTATAAACTATCATGGTAGCACCCCAACCAGGAGGCAAAAGGAATATTTTTTCAATGTATTTTTCTGCAAGCCATCCAGAGAACCAAAGAAATGAATAAACAACAATAAGGGGGTGCCAATCCTTGCTCCCTTTCTGTCTTCAGTTTTCTCCCTTGACAAGGTAAGCAGTGTCAACAACAAACCAGTAAGCAGGGTCAACAACAAACCCCCCCCCCCCCAAACACAGGCAAATTATGGCCTGGAAGCCCACATCTGGCCCATGAGAGCTTGCCATCTGGACCTTGACCAATTGCTGTGAGCATCAGCCTAAAAGGCTGAAACGGCAGCTAGTGAGTTGATGCTCCCCATTTGGTTCAGTGGAAGAGCCCCTGCTTTGCCCGCAGAAGGCCCCTGGTTCAATCCCCAGCATCTCCAGTTTGAAAAAAAGGACCAGGCAGTAGGTGATGGGAAAGACCTCCACCTGAGACCCTGGAGAGCTGTTAAGAGGGGCTGTGGCTCAGTGGAAGAGCCTCTGCTTGGCACGCAGAAGGTCCCAGGTTCAGTCCCCGGCATCTCCAGTTTGAAAAAAAGGACCAGGCCGTAGGTGATGTGAAAGACCTCCGCCTGAGACCCTGCAGAGCAGCTGCCAGTCTGAGTGGACAATACTGACTTTGATGGACCAAGGGTCTGATTCAGTGTAAGGTCCATCCATGTGTTCAACTATTAAGTGTCTTGAAGCCTGGATGTCACTAAGATCAGCAGAGGGGGAGAGAGGGGCACCCCTGGGTCTCACCCCCCATTTTTGAGGGTTCCGAGCTGGGCCGTGTGTGTCATAAAATGTAAGGCCGGGTAGCGGAGATATAAACTTTATAAAGGACACAAACACAAAGGTTTTTTTTTACTTAAAATAAAAACATGCTTAAAACATATAGCACTCTTGCAATATTTCGTTTATTGAACAGTGTCTGATCACTGACACCTCTTGCCCTGAAATATTGCATCAAAATGTCTGTGCCGTTGCAATCCTGAGTACGCTGTTCAGGTGTGTACCTGTGAGCTGCAAACCTACGATGACGCAGCAGCAACAGAACTGGAAGGAGCAGCCAGTTCCACTGCGGGCCTGATAGAAGCCCTTCGGGGGTCTGATCTGGCCCCCGGGCTGCATGTTTGACACCTCTGTTCTAATGTGTGGCACTCAGGCAAAAAAGAAAAGGAAGCCCGTTTTTGCCCTCCCGCAATCCCTGTCTTTAAGGACCGAGCGAGACCCTCACGTGGTCAATCGGGTCCTCCAGGTAGAGGATGCCGTTCTTGATGGAATTGCTGATGTCGTTCTCGGAATAGCTGGCCATGGAGACCTCCTCGTACAGGTTCCCTTCAACCAGCTTCTTGTGCTGCAAAGGAAAAGGGGGAAGTGTTACGGAGGGAACGGGCAAAGTCCTTCCTCGTCCCATTATGGAAGGGGGCGCTTGGGATTTCCAAACCAGTCTTCTAAAAACCGGGCCGTCTGTGCTCACGCAGACAGGCACCCACAAAAAGGCCTTTGTTCCTTGGGGAAGGCGGAAGACAGAGGAGGCGAATGCAGGGAACAGGAAGCAGTGACGTCCAAACCAGACAGAATATGTAAATTTTGCTTTTGGATTTTTACGGTTGTTCTGTTGTAAGCCCAGTGATAATTGTAATTTATATATTCTTCATTTTAAAAAGACTTCTGCTTTAAAAAAATAAAGAATACTCCCCTTCCGCCATTTAAAAAAACAACAACACACCAGACAACAACGATGACCCAGCCAACTTAAACTTCTGGTTTTTCAAAGCAAGAGAAGGGGAGGAGGAAGGGGAGAAGAAGAGGAGGAGGAGGAGGTTGGATTTATACCCTGCCTTTCACTGGGAGTCTCAGTATTTATTTTATTTTATTTATTTATAAATTCAATTTATAGCCCACCCTCCCCGCTGCGCGGGCTCAGGGTGGCTCACAATTAGGCATATGCCTACACATAAAACAAAGTAAAACCATATAAAATCCTTACTACATATACATCAAGATAAGTGCTCTAATTTAATGGAATGCCATATGTAGAGACCAACACTCAGTTAACTGACTAATGAAGTGTATTTGGATAGATTAGAAAATTGTTTATCTAACCAAGTTGCTGTTGAATAGTATTTTTGGTTGAAATGTCGACTATTGATGATGTTGTTATCTATAAGCTATATTGTTATTGTCTATAACATGAAAAATCTAATAAATATATATTTTTTTAAAAAGAAAAAGATAAGTGCTCTAGCTGTTCCAGTCTGATCTTCCACAAAGATGACGTTGCAAGATGGCTTACAATCTCCTTTCCTTTCCCCTCCCCACCACAGACACCCTGTGAGGTAGGCGGGGCTGAGAGAGCTCCTTCCAGAACTGCTCTGAAAGAACTTGTGACTGACCCAAGCCGCTGCGAGTGGAGGAGTGGGGAACCAAACCTGGTTCTACCAGATTAGAGTCCGCGCTTCTAACCACAACACCATATTGTAAAGTACCGTCAAGTCACAACCAACTTAAACTTTGGGTTTTTCAAGGCAAGAGAGGAGCAGAGGTGACTGGCTGCGGTGTCCCTGGACTTTCTTGGAAGTCTCCCATCCGAGTACAATCCAGGGCCGGCCCTGCTTAGCTTCCAAGACTAGGCTAGCCTGGTCCAATACTGCGGTTCTTGGCCGGGGGGGGGGACCCACGGAGGTGCAAGGCTAGGAGAGCTGAGGAGCGAACACGGGAAACTCAGATTCAAGTTCCTGTTCGATTCATGACTTCATCAAATGGCCTTAACCAGGCTGCAGTTGGTTGTTCGGAGATTCTTGGAGGAGGAGGAGGAGAAGAGGAGGTGGAAGAGATTGGATTTATACCCCGCTTTACCCCAGCTTACAAACTCCTTCCCCTCCCCACAACAGACACCCTGGGAGGGAGGTGGGGCTGAGAGAGCTCTGACAGAAACAGCTCTTTTTCAAGGACAGCTCTTATCAGAACTATGGTTTGCCCAAGGTCATCCAGCCGCTGCGAGTGGAGGAGTTGGGAATCAAGCCTGGTTCTCCCAGATTAGAGTCTGTGCACTTAACTACAACACCAAACCAGCTTGCAACTGTACCCACTAAATAATCGCTGTGAGGGAGGATAGTGGAATGCAAAGAAAGCCGAAGCCCATGATGCAAGAAACAGATACTTCCAGGTGGGCCGCCCTGTTGGTCTGCCGTAGAGTCAGCAGCTTAGAGGCCAACAAGATTTTCAGGGTACAAGAGAGTCAAAGCTCCCTTCATCTGACGAAGGGAGCTTTGACTCTTGAAAACTTATACCCCGAAAATCTTGTTAGTCTTTAAGACACTACTGGATTCGAACCTTGCAAGCCATGAAGGGTCACATGGTGAGGATCACATGGCTTGGAACATCATTTGATTTATCGTGCCATTTGGGGAGCACTGATGGCCAGGGAGTAAAGAGCCAGTTTGGTATAGTGGTTAAGTGCGCAGACTCTAAGTGGTTAAGTGGTTAAGTGTGAGGACACTAATCTGGGAGAACCGGGTTTGATTCCCCACTCCTCCATGTGCAGCTGGCTGGATGGCCTTGGCCAAGCTGTAGTTCTGATAAGAGCTGTTCTTGAAAAAGAGCAGTTTCTGTCAAGAGCTCTCTCAGCCCTGCCTGCCTCACAGGGTGCCTGTTTTGGGGAGGGGAAGGGAACGGAGATTGTCAGCCACTCTGAGGCGGGGCATAAATCCAATCGCTCCTCCTCCCAAGTCAGACCAAGGATCCAACAGCCTTCTCTGACAGGCAGCAGCTCCCTAGGGACTCAGCCAGAGAAGTGTCTTTTCCAACTTCTGCTACGGGCAACTTCTGCCAGTTTGGTGTCGTGGTTAAGTGCGCGGACTCTAATCTGGGAGAACGGGGTTTGATTCCCCACTCCTCCACATGCAGCTGCTGGCATGACCTTGGGTCAGTCACAACTTCTCTTGGAGCTGTTCTCTCATGAGCCGTTTTCGAAAAGAGCTCTCTCAGCCCACCTACCTCACAGGGTGTCTGTCGTGGGGAGGGGAAGGGAAAGGAGTTTGTAAGCCGCTCTGAGACTCCCTTGGGTAGTGGAGGGCGGGGTATAAATCCACTCTCTTCTTCTCTTCTTCTTCTTCTAAAAGAGGGCATGAGGATTTGCGTGCAGGAGGGAATTGGCGGGCCGGGCCACCTTGATGAGGATTTTCTTCCTGAGCTGGGCCGGCGAGGGCAGTTGGTCCGCGTTGACGTCCACCGGCTTGGTCAGAAGCATGTCCCCAAAGACCTTCTTGAAGTGGGACGCCATGTTCCTCTGCTGGACGATGCTGCAGTGGTCCTCGATGGAGAGAATCATGGGGAACCTGGAGGAAGGGGAGAGGGGGAGACTCAGGCCTGTCTGTAATTGTTCTCTTCCTGTGCCTTGGCGGGACTTTGACGGCTGATTCCAAGTGTCAACAATTTCATTAATTTTCACCGATGTATCCTAACATAGTTGTAAGAGACTCTCTGAAAGAACGTTCCTAGGGCAAAGTGCTTGTATAATGCCCTAGGAACATTCTTTCAGAGAATCTCTTGCAACTATGTTATGATACATCGGTGAAAATTAATGAAATTGTTGACACGCACCTGTTGAAATAACAGACCAAGAGTCGCTGCTTTGATCCACATTCGGAAGAAGAATAGTATCGAAACGATAGAACATTCCGGAGACCATCGTCAATTTCACCAATTTCAGCTGCCTTTGTGCATTTACATATGCAATTTTTTTTGTACACATTTTTGTATAAGAATTTTGTGACCGTTATTTAAATATTTTCTAGCGCAATTACTTCACAGTTCCTTCCTTCCTTTTTTCGGTCTCTAAGGTTCCACTGGAATTGAATCTAAGCTGTTCTACTACAGGTCTAACGCGGCTCCCCTCTGAAGCGATCTTCACAAAAGGCTGCCTTTGCTAGGGAAGGGGCCGTGGCCGAGTCCTACACTGAAGATCTCGGGTTCAAGCTTAAGGAGCCAGGCTGGGAAAGAGACTGGTCTGGGATCATGCACAGCCGATTCCAAGCAGACTGCACCACTGGCAGGACTCAGAGTCCTCAATTTATACGCAGAGCACACAGCAGAATCTGCGCAGGGAACAGCACAAAAGTCTCAGTGCTTTGCAGCCGCCCACTCCGTGCAGGCTTTTCGATACCTCTGTTTTAGTGCAGAGGTAAAGGTAAAGGTAAAGGTTCCCTTGCTCGAAAGCCAGTCGAATCCGACTCTAGGGTTGCGGTGCTCATCTCCGTTTCAAAGCCGAAGAGCCAGCGCTGTCTGAAGACGTTTCCGTGGTCATGTGACCGGCATGACTAAACACCAAGGCGCCCTTCCCACCGAAGTGGTACCTATTTATCTACTTGCAATGTCTTGCTTTCAAACTGCTAGGTTGGCAGGAGCTGGAACTAGAGACGGGAGCTCACGCCGTCATGCGGCACACTCGGGTCTCGAACTGCTGAACTACCGACCTTCCACAGCCTGCAGTTCAGCGTCTTAACCACTTGAGCCACTCCCCAAGGGAACCGCAAAAAACTGTCTGTCACAGGGAGGGGCTGAGTTTGGCATGCAGAAGGTCCCAGGGTCAATCCCCAGTTAAAGGATCATAAGAACATAAGAGATGCCAATGTTGGATCAGGCCAAAGGCCCATCCAGTCCAACACTCTGTGTCACACAGTGGCCAGAAATACCAGGTGCCCTCAGGAGGTCCACCAATGGGGCCAGGACATTAGAAGCCCTCCCACTGTTGACCCCCCCCCCCCAAGCACCAAGAAGACAGAGCATCCCTTGCCCCAGAGCCCCTATCTATACCTTGTGGCCTATAGCCACTGATGGACCTCTGCTCATCTGATGGACCATCATCTGATCAGATGGCAGGTGATGCAAAAAACCTCAGCCTGGGACCCTGGACAGCGGCTGCTAGTCTGAGTAGACAATACTGACCTCGATGGACAAAGGGTGGGGAGGGGCCATGGCTCAGTGGAAGAGCCTCTGCTTGACATGCAGAAGGTCCCAAGTTCAATCCCCGGCAGCGTCTCCTGTTAGAAGGACCAGGCAGTAGGTGATGCGAAAGACCTCAGCCTGAGACCCTGGACAGCAGCTGCCAGTCTGAGTAGACAATACTGACCTTGATGGCCCAAGGGTGGGCATGAGCTCTGGCTCAGAGCTTCTGCTTGGCATACAGAAAGTCCTAAATTCAATCCCTGGCATCTCCAGTTAAAAGGACCAGGCAGCAGGTGATGTGAAAGACCTCTCTGGATTTAATTTTACATGTTGTATTCCTGAGAAAATAAAATTTGTTTACCAACAAGATTCAGGATAAGACAGCTTCATGTTTGTTCGTGTGTGTGTGTGCTATCCAGATACTCCTTTTTGATCAAGGGAGAAGACCTTCTTGGGGTCTGAGCAATTCCCACGGAGAAGACGGTTTTCCGAGGGTGTGTTTCCGCAGTCACTAGAAACAGATCCGCACAGATTTCGTCCCCCCCTTTAGAACAGAGACAACTGACTGAGGGGTCCGTGGATGCATGGGAGGGGTTAAAGCAGCTGGGGGGGGGGGGTTGTGCCAAGCTGGGTGTCTTCACTTACTCAGAGGTGGTGAAGGCGTGCTCCTTAATGGTGTGCAGCACATCCAAGAATTTGATCTTGGAGGTCAGCGTGTGGCCATGGTAGATAATCGGCAGGTCGTCGGGGCCATCCCAACAGTCCACTGCAGGCACAGAGCGTAGAACATCAATTAGTTCATGAAGACCTGTGAATTGCTCACCTTTTTGCCATCCACACAAACACAATTATAAGAACACAAGAACATAAGAGACGCCAGTGTTGGATCAGGCCAGTGGCCCCTCCAGTCCAAATCTCTGTGTCACACAGTGGCCAGAAATACCAGGGGCCATCAGGAGGTCCAGCAGTGGGGCCAGGACACTAGGAGCCCCTCCCACCTGTGACCCCCCCCCAAGCACCAAGAATACAGAGCATCCCTTGCCCCAGACATAAGAACATAAGAGAAGCCAATGTTGGATCAGGCCAGTGGCCCATCCTGTCCAACACTCTGTGTCACACAGTGGCCAAAAATACAAGGGGCCATCAGGGGGTCCATCAGTGGGGCCAGGACACTAGAAGACCCCTCCCACTGTTGAAC